CAACATACCCCCACTGAGCTCTTCCCAAACTCCCCTCCCCAAGTCCCTCCCCAGGAACTGACCCCAAATCTCCAGGAACTTCCCAAGCCAGAGCTGGGAACCCTAATCTTCCACGTATGGAATGCCTCCAAAGCCTAATCCTTTTCTCTGTCATTCTGCCCCTTCTGGTGTCTGCCACGTCCTTCCCTTGCAGGATCGGCTCTTAACCCTTGCCTGCACAGCCAAGAAGAATCAGGTGGGAGAATCTCGGAAGCCTCAGAGTGGAATGGAACACTTCAGGGTGCAGGGGAGTGCTCCTAGTTTTGAATACTTTTCGGGGCTAATGAAAAACACACACAAAAAAAGAACGAGTTAGGGAGAAAGTTTTCAGCCCAGCCTACTCCCTGCCATGCCAGTTTTCTATTTGTGGGGAACGTTTAAAAGCATTTGGGAACATTCGTGGGAGAATCTCGGAAGCCTCAGAGTGGAGTGTAACACTTCAGGGTGCAGGGGAGTGCTACTAGTTTTGAATACTTTCCGGGGCTAATGAAAAACACAAAACAAAAAGAACGAGTTAGGGAGAAAGTTTTTAGCCCAGCCTACTCCCTGCCATGCTAGTTTTCTATTTGTGGGGAATGTTTAAAAGCATTTGGGAACATTTAGGAATATGTTTTCCACACCTGCAATCTGACATGGTATAGCCCCCCCCACTACCTCTTCTTTTGCACATTGTCACTTTGATGGGTACATTCATGTGGTCAAGTCTGAAATAAGCCAAAGAGGATGGAGCGAAAAGGTCCGGGCATACTTCTCCACATGCAACCAGCTGGGTGACCTTGGGTCAGTCACAGTTCTCTCAGAGCTCTCTCAGCCCCACCTACCTCACAGGGTGTCTGTTGTGGGGAGAGGAAGGGAAGGCGATTGTAAACTGCTCCAGCACTCCTTTGGGTAGTGAAGGGCAGGGTATAAAACTAACTCTTCTTCTTAATTTTATAGTGCACCTTTCTCACTGACACTCAAGACGGATCACACAATTAAAATCAATGCAGTAAGAGCCTCGTAATGCATACAATCAGCAATACAATCAAGATGGATTGCGAAATTAGAGATTAGCGCAGTATAAGCAATTCACTATGTACAATGACATGGTATTCATGCATACAACTGTGACACAAAATGGAGTACATAATGAGAGACACAGTGAGAAGACACCATGTACGCAACAAACAAAGCAAGAAAAACAACCCGAAATTCCACCAACATTGACTATATGATCTTGTTCCCTGCTCCCAAAGAGCTCGGGGTGCATAGTTCTCCTCTCCTACATTTTGCCCCTATCACAGCCCTGTGAGGTAGGCTGGACAAAGACAAAGTGACATACCCAAAGTCTACGGCTGCCAATTCCGAGTTGGGAAATTCCTGGAGATTTAGGGGTGGGGAGGGAGATCAGTGAGGCATAACGCCATAGAGCCCATCCTCCAAAGCAGCCATTTTCCTCCAGGGGAATTGATCCTGGTCGTTTGGAGATGATCACTTGTAATTCCAGGAGATCTCCAGGCGCCACCTGGAGGTTCTCAACCCTGCCAAGGTCACCCAATGACCTTCCTGGCAGAGGGCATAACTGCACATGACATTTTTCCCCCAGGGATGTGTCTGGCTTTGGTTGGGAAACTTATTCTGAAACTTTTCTCTTCCCAGGGTGCGCAGTCCTGATTTGGATTGGCCCCTGGCCCCTGAGGAGAGGGGGCTTAGATCTCCCCCCCCTGTTCTCTCAACCCTAAATGGTCATGTTATTTGCCCTCTTGTGAGCTGTGTGTGGATTGACAGGTTACTGGATAATATTCCATAAATGCACAAACATTGGCTTCCCCTTCGCTTCTTTTTGAGCCTGGGGTCCTTCCTGAAGTATCTTCATCAATATCACACCAAGGTTTTTTTTTTTTAAAAATCCCCAAAACAATTTCAGTTACCTTTTAATCCATCGTTCCCCTAGGTTGAATATTTTGTCTCGTTGTGATTTGATATTGATCTTTTTAGATGCTGCTGGCTTTTTAAAAGTGCGATCAGCTTCGACGGATTTGGAAAAGCCCTTAAACATAAGATGAGAAGCCAATGTTGGATCAGGCCAATGGCCCACCCAGTCCAACACTCTGTATCACACAGTGGCCAAAGATACCAGGTGCCATCGGGAGGTCCAGCAGTGGGGCCAGGACACAAGAAGCCCTCCCACTGTTGTCCCCCCCCCCAAGCACAAAAAATACAGAGCATCCCTTGCCCCAGCCTGAAAGTTCCTAACTATACCTTGTGGCTAATGAAGCCCTCCCACTGTTGCCCCCCCCCCCAAGCACCAAGAATACAGTGCATCCCTTGCCCCAGCCTGAAAGTTCTTAACTATACCTTGTGGCTAATAGCCACTGATGGACCTCTGCTCCATATGAAGCCGTCCATGCTTGTAGCCGCCACCACCTCCCGTGGCAGGGAATTCCATGTGTTAACCACTCTTTGGGTGAAGAAATACTTCCTTTTATCCGTTCTAACCCGACTACTCAGCAATTTCACTGAGTGCCCACGCGTTCTTGTATTGTGAGAAAGATCCCTTTAGGATCACACTGTTAGTAGATCTACAGTCCCCCACGTTGTTTTAGGATGTATAGTTCTTGCTGGTTATTTGATTTTAGGGTTAAGGTGGAGTCCGTGGCTCCCTGACCTGGATAGCCCAATCTTGGAAGCTACAAAGGGTCAGCCCTGGTCAGTATTTGGAAGGGAGACCCCCAAGGAATACCAGAGTCATGACGTGGAGGCAGGCAATGGCCAACCACCTCTGAACATCTCTTTCCTTGAAAATCCCAGATTGTCACCATGTCAGCTACGACTTGATGGCAAAAAAAAGGAATGAGAGTCTACAGCATCAAATCCCTGCAGAGCCCCCTCCTCAGACCCCACCCTCCCCAGGCTCCACCTCCAAATCTCCAGGAATTTCCCAACTGAGAGTTGGCAACCGTAGCAGCATACCTTTTCCTCCTGCCCTCCATTTTTACGTAGGGTCGTTTTAGGGTTATGATTTGATGGCATTCTGCATACGTATGTGAAGAGGAACAGTTTAAATACGGAAGATCATAAATAAGGAGATGGAAAAGTCAAGTTGTTTCCTGCTTCCCAGTTCCTTATTCAATGCCAACAAGAACAGGCAGTGTGAATAATTATAAGGCTGAAAACAGACACGGTGTCAGAGACCCATGAACAGATCTTTCTTTTTTTCCAAATTTCAAAGCAACTGAGCTTTTGATCAGAGCAACGTGGAGGAAAGAAGAAAGGTGTTTACACTTTGCCTCCTTATCCGTGCATAACGTATCATATCTAAACCTGGATTCGGGTGGGTAGCCGTGTTGGTCTGAAGCAACAGAACAAAGTTCGAGTCCAGTGGTACCTTTAAGAAGGAGTGTGCATGCAGATGAAAGCTTATACTCAGAATTAAACTTTGTCCGTCTTAAAGGTGCCACTAGACTGGACCCAAGCTTTGTTCTATAGCTAAACCCGGATCATCTTCAGGAAGACCTGAAGCTGCTTTTTGGAATAGTTACAGTCAGTGTTCCCTCTAAGGTGAGTTAGTGTGAGCTAGCTCACAGTTTTTTAGCCTCCAGCGCACACATTTTTGTCTTAGCTCAGGAAGGATGGCTCCAGAGCAAACTAATTTAGCAGTAGCCAAATCGCTTGCTCACAACTTTAATGCCAGTAGCTCACAAAGTAGAAGATTTGCTCACAAGACTCCACAGCTTAGAGGGAGCATTGGTCAGTGTTTTGGGAACAGATGTGCTGAAAAATGACATAGATGTACCTCCAGCACTTGATGGTTTTTTGACCCTCACAATATGACAATGGACATATCCGCCAATTTGAGGACACACTTCATTCATTTGATACAGGTGGCTCTAGTCCACCCAAGCTTCTTCTGCCACAAGAACAGTGCAGTCCTCTGGAGAAATCCCAGTGACCTCAAACGTTTGCACTCGGCATAGATGGAAACAACCCTGCATAGGGCTGCATGCTATACTGCAGTTCTAAACAGCCTGGCACTTTTCTAGGCCCAACGGTGACAGGTGTGTAAACCTGTTTTGGTTTGTACTGTAAAGAATTTAGTCTTTTAGCTCCAGTGTAAGGTTGCCAGCTTTGGGTTGGCAATTCCTGGGGATTTTCAGGGGTGGAGCCTGGGGAGGGTGGGGTTTGGAGACGGGAGGAACTTCAGCGGGGTAGAACGCCACAGAGCCCACCTTTCAAAGCAGCCATTTTCTCCAGGGGAACTGCTCTGCGGCGGCGGGAGATCCGTTGTAATTCCGGGAGATCTCCAGCCACAACCTGGAGGCTGGCAACCCTAATTAGCTGCCGCTTTAGTTTTTCCTGTAACAGGCAAGCAACCCCCACCCCCCCATACACTTGTGGTGTTTAACAAGCGCGATTTAAATAAGGGGCGCGCGCAGAAAGGAAAGGGTTACCTTCCCTTGTCTTCCCTGCCAAAACCGCAATTCCCATCGACACGGAGCTCCCTCCCTCCAATTCTTTAAAAAAGCTTTAAAAAAAAGAAGTCAAGAGTTCGAATCGCTCCTCTCCGGCGTCACGTCCGTGCCCTGAAGTGCGAGCGCGCCTCCGCCCCCCTCCGGCGGCACACAGATGTTTTGTTTCAACCCAGACAGTCTTGCTTCCAGCATCCCATGGGACTCCCGCGGAATCTGGAGTTCCGTTAGATCCCACTAATCGAGCTTTCCGAAAGCGCCCTCTGCACGAGTTGGCTTAGCGCTTGCTCCTCCACGTCCAGTCCTTTGCTCCCTGGCGTGGGGGAGCGCGCAGCCCTGACGCCAGGTGGGTCTACTTCAGCGCAAACCGGCGTGGGACGGGAGGGCCAGGCTCTCGCTGCGACGTGTGGATTGGCCAGGCAAATCCGCCCCCCCCCCTCCTTCCCGTCCAGGCGCGGCGGCTCTAATCGGCCCACCCAAGCGCGCCTCGGCTCCGCCCCGCCGCCCAGGAGCATGCCGCGGCGTCGGCAGCAGCGGCAGCACCAGCAGCGCGGGCGGGCGGCGTCGGCAGCGCAGCGCGGAGGCGCCATGCCCCGGCCGTCCTTCCACCTGTGGCTCTTGCTGTGCTGGGCGGCGACGGGCTGCGGGGCGGGCGGCAGGCGCCTGCCTTCCTTCGGCGGCCACGTGGCGGAGAACCGGCCGGCGGGCACCCGGGTGAGCGGCCTGACCGTGCCGCTGACCCGCCTGGGGCCGGAGCCGTGGTGCGCCAAGGTGCAAGGGCGCCGCTGGCACCTGCGCCTGCTGGGCGAGGGCCACGCGCACTTCCAGGTGGCGCTGCACGCGCGCTCCGGCCAGGTGTGGCTGCGCACCCGGCGGCCCCTGGACCGCGAGGCGCGCGCCCTCTACGCCCTGCGCCTGGCCCTCTGCTGCAAGCGCTGCGCCGCCGGGCCCCCCGCCCCG